TCTTGGCCCCTGTGCCCAGCCCAGTCCAGCCCAGCTGGGGCTGTGTGTGCGGCCAGGGAAGCTTCCATAACTCAGCACTTGGCAGGCGCAGTAAAAGGCTCGGCTGGAAAGGCACTGTGAGTCAGGGTGCCACTCTAATACGCAAACATCAAAGCCTCCTCCCCTCCCCCCGTCACCCCAATCGCTGACCCCAGGCACAGAAATCATATCCAAGAATGGGTTCCACAGCACAAAACTGACAGGGGCCTCCTGTGGCGGTTCCTTTCAGAGAAACCAGGAGGGAGAAGGGGACAGCTGTAGACTAGGTCCCTGTGAGGGGGCATGTGGATGGAACCACGTATAAGTAAAGATTTAAACAAACAATGCATCGCTATGAAAACATTTGGCTCTTTCGAAGGCACTGTTAAGAACAATAATCAAGAATTCAGATTCAGCCTTAACTGGTGTGGCTCCATGGATAGAGCATCGGCCTGCAGACCAAAGGTTCCCAGGTTCAACTGCGGTCAAGGGCACATACTGAGGTTGCAGGCTCCTCCCCCGCTTGGGCCCTGGTCAAGGCATGTGCAAAAGACAACCTATCAATGTGTGTCTCTTACATGGATATTTGTCTTCCCCTATCTCTAAAATTCAATGGAAAAATATCCTCAGGGGAGGATTTAAAACAATAATAATTCAGATTCAACACTACAAGTGTTTACTTCCAGAAAGGGCAAAGTGAGCCTCAGATATTTGGCAGCCAAATAGAGTCGCCAGAACTCAAGGAGACATTCCCCACAGGGCAGGGACCCATCATGTCAGGCTTTCTCTTAATTAAGCCCTCCAACTGGGGCATTCCGCTCATCACGGCGCCCACTCAACTCTTCTGGGGTTGCCGTGACACAAGTCAAGAGAAGGTGCCAGTTGCTGGCAGGGTCCCATCAGCCATGGAGGCAGCAGGAGGGAGAGCCACGAGGACATGGCAGGCTTACGGGCTGTGTCCCACACCTATTAGGAATCTCAGAGGCCGCCTGAGCCAGTGGGCCCTATTCCCCACTGCGGATACACTCTGATGCCAGGCACACGTTCCCACCCGCGCTTTGAGGCACGCATTTCCCTGGGCTGTCTGCTGGCTGGCACTGTGAAGTGTTGTGAAGAAGCCTGATGCTGAGTTTGGGCATCATTCCCAGTCTCCAAATGTACTCCCAGGTAAGAATGGAGGGAAGAAGGACCACTCGTCTACCTCTGAAAGTTTCTTAGACACGGTCAGGAAACACTACCAGGAAGGCTGGAAGAGAACTTGTCTAACTTGCCAGAAACTGGATTCTTTCCCCGCAAATGAGCTTCCCCAGTAAAATGGCCAATGACTAGTCCATTTGGCAGATGGTCTCTGACGAGGAGATACCAGGTTGAATGGGAGGAGTTACAGATGCTGCCCTAATGCACAGGAAAGCCAGGGGACAAACAAGGTGGCCTGGTCGTCAGCTCTACCAGCAGCTACGGGGCTGCTGGGCCGCCAGCCTTGCCAGCAGGTATGGGGAGGCTGGGTTACCAGCTCTGCATGAGCAAGCCCTAAGCTCAGGGCCCAGGGGTGCTGAGCAGACCACTCTGCCTAAATTCAGGAAGGCAGAGGCAAAAGCAGTTTAGGGACTGGCCTGTGCTTTGAATTCTGGTTCTGCCATTTATAAGTCCTGTTAAATTTCTTAAGTTCTTGGAGACTCAGCTGCTTGCTTGGTCTCTGTCAGGGAAATAGCATCTTTCTCGAAGGGCTATGAAGAATACTAGGGACTCTGTATAAAACGCTCCTAGGACAGTGTGTGGCAGGATATTAAAGCTCAAATAAAGGGCAGCTAAAAAACAAAACCCGTGTTTTCCATCATGCTAGAGCCACATATTTGCTTCCGCTGCTTTACCAGGAATGTTAGTAGAATAGCTTCATTCCTAATCCCAGGAAAGATCTACCACCAGCAAAGCCCAGCAGCAGGCGATGCAGTCACTGAGTAGGGCTGCCCCCGCCAGGGTCTGAATTCCTGTCTCGTCCTAAACCCTGTCCTATGACTCTATGGCGAGTCCCTCCTGCACGGTTCAGGAGGGACACTATTTTTGTGGTGGGGAAATGACAGTTCTGGCACTGGGCAGCAGGAAACAAAATCTCTGGCGGCGGTCACCTGAAGAAAGCCAGCACTTGCCTCCCTGGCAGACGGGGCTGCGATGAGTGAAGAGGTCAGATCTGCAGCTGACACAGGGGAGGTCAGGCCCTACATTAGGAGGATGCTGTAAGACGTGGGACCATCTGCCAGTCCTTTCATGTCTGGGAATGGAAGAGGAATTTCCCTGTGTCAGGTGTCAAACTCATAACTGAAGCAGACTCTACCACCATGGCCAGGCTTTTTTGTTTGTTCGTTTTAATAGGAGAAAAGCTGGGGATTAAAAAGAGGCTTTGTTTTTATGGTGATTTGTACCTCCCTCGCAGGAAGGCTTAGTATGATGGTCAGGTTTTATGAAGCATTTAGAATTTCTCAGAGAAAGGAGCTGTACTCAGGTAACAGCATTAACAGAAAAGGTGGAGGGACTCCAATGCAAGAAGCCGAGAGCTTGCGGAGAGCCCGTCAGAGCAGAGCCTGGCTAGGCGTGGGGCTACACTGGGGCTAGGAGCTCGGGGCAGACCCCGCCCAGCCTCCGGCACTTCGCCCTGATTGTGGGACCATCAGCCTTACAGCACTGGATGGAAACAAGATCAAAAGCAAGGAGGCTCTGTAAATTTTCCCCACAGGCAGCTAGGGAAACTAACGCTCCTGGCCTATTTTCATCCATTTTCTTTCCCTCTGCTTTTTCTTATCTTGGTTTGGAATTAATCTGGCACACTGCCTAACTCAAGAGGTCAAGACCACATGGTTTTATGGTGCAATACGGGCTGCTACGTTGTTGTGTTTTGGGAACCTCGGTGACATCATGGACTAGGCCCTGAGTCCCGGGAACTTGGGTCTTAAGGGAACACTGAGTCAGAAGACAGCCTTAGTCACAGGGCCACTGGAATCTCAATGGAGAGAACCATTAGGTAACCGAGTCTGCTCTCTGCGGGGCTGCTCCAGCTTCTGTCTGGTTTGGGTTTAAATGACTCAAGTCATTCTCCAGGGGAAACTAATTTATGTGGAACAGCTGGCACTAGCAGAGCATTTGCTACTCTTGAGCCCACATTTCTCATGACATCAGGCAAGTATTCCTCCCTCTGAGGGGACAGTTTTCTCTTGTATTAAGCAGTCTGGGTGGCGGCTTGAAGATGGCGGCCTAGTGAACACTGCCTTCACCTTTATTCCCAGCCGTAACCTGTCTGGGGTTTCCCGGGAGGACTGTCAGTTAAATACAGTGCCCCCAGAACACGCGGCTTTCCATTACAATAGCACACACCGCTAAGGAGTCAAGGCCGACTTCAGCTAGACTCTGTGAGCCACGTCTGTTTGGGTTTTTGCAGCTGTCTGCCTACGGACGGCTCCAGAGTCCCTGACGCATATTTATATCTCCACTAAATTTAGTCACGAGGAACAAACACGTGTGCATTTACACCAGCGCAAAGACCATTCACGTTTTTTCAAATGGAGCAAGAGAGGGCAGCAGAAAAACTGTTTATGGACAGACTCATCCGTGAGCACAGCCGTAGGGGTTTTTAATTTGCCTAAACAAAATATGTGCTTTCAAGATGTGATTAGGGATTACTGTTCCCATAGTAAACATTTTATGGATGTGAACTGCTGGCTGGTAGTTAACAGGGCTCTGAGCCGGGAAGTCAGTCCACCCTTGTCTTCCAAACAGCCATCCGGGGAGATCAGCTGGACCAGCCTCTGGAAGTTTCCTCACGGTGGAAGGGTTGCTCAGTCTCGGCACGGCTTCTCTCTCAAAGGTTTCACATCACGGGTGCGCCCCTCTCGGGTTGGATAGACCGTCCGAAAGGTCAGGTTTATTCTCTGTGCTCTAGAGTGGTACTCTTTGGGCACCCGATGCTAAATGGAAATAGAAATAACTTTGACATAAACACACACACATTTTTATTCAAAGCCATTTGAAACTTCTTTATGAGTATATAGACACACTTCGATTTTATGCGCCCTTAAGTAGGCAGCGTTAGATGTTTAGAGTCTTGTGGAGAAAGGTCTCCTCCTCTGAACCTCCCCCTCCCACCTCTACGAGATGCCAGCACCCTCACAGTGCAACAGTTTTGTCTTTTCTAACACTTGCTCGTCCTCTCAGTCTCCTGCCATGTTTCTGAATCTCATAAGAAAACAAGAAAATGGTTGAAACCAAAGAAAGATGTGGGATTCTGCTCTTACGCTAAGTGTTCTCACATTAATTTGCACAACATAAAAATGACCTGCCCTGCTGGTGTGCTTAGTGGTTGAGCGTTGTCTATGCACCAGGTCTCCAGTTCAATTCCGGGTCAGGGCACATGCCAGAGTTGCAAGCTCAATCCCCAGTAAGGGGTGTGCAGGAGGCAGCAGATAGATGTTGATCTATCAATGTTTCTCTCTCTCCTTCCCTCTCCCTTACTTTCCTTGAAATCGAGACAGACTTTTTTTTTTTTAAATGATCTCCCCTTAAGATGGCCTGGCCTAAGCTGAATATGCCAGTTACTAGATATCTGAAGCTACTTCAATTTATTTAAATTAAAGCTCAGTTCTTCCACATACTAACCATATTTCCGGAGACCCACAGTCACATGTGTCCAGTGGCCAGAACACTGGGCTGCACAGATATAGGACATTCTCCTCCCTGCAGAAGGTTCTACAGACGCCATCACTATAGAGGTCCGGTTCGACTATCAGTAGCATCAAAACTCCTGGGCAATTATAAAAGCAACTTGCTCTGCACCATGTTTACAGAAATGGATTATTGTATGCCAGGCAGACGCTGCCTCCACATGAGCGAATCCACATTACTTGCGCGTTCTCACCTGCCAGTCCGCTTGCGTTCTTTCCACATATGTGTAGTCTCCATTCTCTTCCTAGAAAACAGCATTCACTGCACTGAAGTTTGTGCTCATGTGATCAAGATGCAACGGAACACAACTCTGGTCAAAGAAATGGGCGCCTCCCCAGTCAGACTGCAGGGGACAGTGAATGGCTGTCACTTGGCAGCAGCTTGGCCTTCGGCCAGGCATTTCCCCTCTCTGTACTGTGGGGGTGATGACAGCACCTGCCACACTAGTCACAGGGCCATCGGGAGCCTCCAGTGATGCAGTGCGTGGCAATCACCTGGAGACCAGCACAAAGTGAGTCATCGTAAGTGCTAGCTATTGTTATTATTATCAGCATCCAAAACGCAGAAGAGCCCATTTTGGCCCATGAAGGAATTACAATTCATCTATCCAAGAACTCTTTACGCCTGCTTTAGGCTGTGCGCTGTTTAACATAGCATGGGAGGATGGGTTTCTAAGCAAGACATGGTATGATGAGTTCTGATCATCGTCCACAATTTATGCCAATTCACTAATCAGTACCTATGTTAAAACTAGTCCTTCGGTGTTCTGGCGACATATTCCTGTTTCTTCCCAGAACAGTCAACAGTGACATTTTCTCAGAGAAATGAGCTCTGGCTCGACCAGAAAGCATAGCAAACTGAGACTTGCTGTTTAAGCCTTGGAAAGTGGGCCACGATTCCTGAACACTCGGGACACAGACGCCTGGCATTTTACACTGCCCTGTCTTCCAGAAAGTGCAGCCATGGCCGGTATCGCAATGAAGCTCCATGACACAGTCTGCGAAGCAGCCGACAGGTGGTGTTGCTCCTCCCGCACAGCTGATGGGGTGCATTGCACAACTTCCCTGCTCGCAGAGTTGAGACTGGGACTGACCCGCACTTCCTGATTTCTTCATCTGTTTCCTGAGCTGATCCACCCATTCCTCTGCTTCACTGGTGCACAGGACTACCTCTGGGTTAGTGCAGGACTGATTTCGCTGCAATACCGTGTTTACGCTCATTATTGCAGGGGTGCTTCTGAGAACATAACAGTTTACAATGACTTCCCCCAGGAAAATCAAAATCAAAACAATAATGAACTAGAATAAACAGTCTAAGTTCCAGGCCCCAACCGTTGGCGGAGACTGTGCAAGCAAACTCATAATTTTTACAGACAGAATATAAGAAACAATGTTTGAAATAACTTTCAGTGATTGATTTTAATGGTGTCTGCCACCTCTTTTCTTCCAGTAGTATGTATGCACCAAAGCATTTACTTCTGACCCCCTCAGCCAACCAGAGAGCAGTGGGAAGGTGACCTTGTCCTTCTCAGAAAGGCTCCATCTCAGAAGATGGAGTGAAATAGGTGTTCCAGACGGAGGACATGATGTCCTACTGGAGAGAAGGTATCAGGAGGGAGTGCACTCTCCATGAGATTAGAAGGCCCCAGGCCCTGTGACTTAGGCTGGAGAGTCGGTTACCAGACCAAGGTTCGCACAGCGAGAGGCAGACCTGCTGCCCTCTTCATAATCTGGGAACACCATAGGTCTTAATCTATCAAGCACAGACACGAGGACAGAAAAGGGAAATGAAGCAGAGAGGAAAGACGCTCAACCACAACATGAAGACAATCCTGAGATGAAGATCTTGTAGAACATTTAAAACAATATAGGGAGGAGGGGTGCCAGGCCAGTGGAAGAGAAGAGGTGAGCACTGTAATTCTACCTGGAAACATGAAGCAGGAATAAGCCTAGCAAGTGAAAGAGAATTCCAACTACAAGAGGGAAATACCAGCACTAATGGAAAGCGATGCTCAACTGATCTTCATTGCCCTTAATGCTCCTAAGAGCTGAACTTTTCAAATGAGAGAAGGCCGCAGGTTGGTATGAATAAATTTCATCCAGTGTAACCACTAGTTGGGCCTAAAAGTGTACGGGGGTCAGCCTGCACTTGGGAGGGAGCTACTCTAATCAGTCCCCAAAGGAAACAGCAACACACCGCGCACCCACCATGAAAGGTAACACCAATACCTCAGGGTTTGTTATTTGTTCCTTCCAATACCTCTGGCTTAGAAAATATGTTCCTGGTTTGCAAAAGATAGAAAAGGGGGCAAAGGATTCTACCAGGGCAACATAGAGCTCACAAATGCTTCCTTCTCCTATGGCCAGAGGCAACAGACCACCGTGCCACCGCTGAACTTAACCAAGACGCACAGAGACTTTCCACTTAGGAAGCAGATAACAGGCCAGAGGAGCCCATGTGGCTCTGCTGAAGGCTGAGCTGATAAATGGATAAGAGCAGTAGTGGAAGCACATGCCAGACTGTTGAGAGGAGCACATTCACAGGCAGTAAGCATGGTTACTTTACCAAAACACATCTCTGTAACCGTTTCAATTTAATCAGGTCTTTCTTCAAAACAAAACAAAACACGGCCCTAAAAAACCATGGCTTAGGATAAAATTCTCCATCCCCGATCCCAGCTAAAACAAGTTTTTAGGGCCACAATCAGTCTACAGGTTAGGTTTTATTGGTCCTGGTCTCAGTTTTCCATGCATGTGAAACCTCACAAGTAGATGGGAAAAGGAAAAATATATATTTTATATTAGTGGAGATCAACATTCTCCCTCCTTCCCAACGACAGTCAGTTCATTTGAATGTTGAACCATAATTTCCAAGGGAAGTAGGGCTTCCCAAAATTCCACAACTCTCATGTCCACCTCACCAAGATATGAGCCTTTTCAGTTTCCTTTAGAACAGTAGTTCTCAACCTTCTGGCCCTTTAAATACAGTTCCTCATGTTGTGACCCAACCATAAAATTATTTTCGTTGCTACTTCATAACTGTAATGTTGCTACTGTTATGAATCGTAATATAAATATCTGATATGCAGGATGGTCTTAGGCGACCCCTGTGAAAGGGTCATTTGACAGCCAAAGGGGTCACGACTCACAGGTTGAGAACTGCTGCTTTAGAAAAATGCTATTTAGGAAAAAATGTCTGGATGTATTTATTATATCATTACTAATCACTCAACAGACAGGAAATCTAAACATTATTCTCTTCATTGGAAAGGTAACTTCACACTGTATGAGCTCTGTGTTGATTTTTTCACATAATTATTCCTTCCTTGTCCTAAAAAAGTATCTTAGAGATTACAACCATCAATGCCTGAAAAATCACTGTTGGCATCGATTTTCTTTTTACTATAAAATTAACATAAGCTTACCAAAGTAAATGATGCACTTGTAATTTGCCTGTTCAATGTCTGCCTTCCTACTCTGATAAACTCCATGAGGAGAGGTCAGTGTTGTCTTGCCTTTCAAAATATGCTCAGTGCCAATCATCACCTACATCAACAAATAAGTGCTTAATGACTGAGGAAAATCACCAAGAAATATAAAAATCACCTTTAATCCTACCATCCAGAATTCATACAACACATGTACAGGAACAGTCTACCGATTATTCTACATTATTCCACAACTGTGTACTCTACATTTTAACACTATATTGTGAGCATCTTCCTATGTATTAAATATACGTATTTCAAAAATATGGCCATATGATATTCCTTTGTCTGAACATATCCTTCCTTCTTTAATCTCACATATGTATTTTATCACCTGTTTATGTTAGGCATGTGCTTATGGTAAGGATATAGCAGTGAGGTACACATGTTTGGAGATTGAGATTTTCATTTACAAGTACTGCTAAAAAGAAAGAGAAAGAAAAAACTACTGCAAAACATTTCTGAGTCTATTTCTAGAATATATTCTTAAAATGGAATTGCTGGATCCAAGGGCATGAACTTGAAGCAATTTGAGTTATATCTCCAGGCTGCCTTCTTAAGAAGGCAACAAATGATTCCATCAAGAAAATATGGTAGTGTCTGTCTTCTGGCCATATCACTAATACTGAACATTATCAACTGTCTACGATGAAAAAACTTCGGGATAAATGGCAACTTATTCTCAGAGCCCTCTAATTAATAACTCAGATCAACAATTTCTCACATGCCTATTTGCTGTTTGCACCTCTGCTGTGAACTCTCTGCTCATGTTTTTGTGCATTGTTCCACAAGATGTTAACATTTTTCTTATTGATCTATAAGCACAGATAGTTAGATATTTTGACTTTGTCTGTCATACTCATTTGCTACTTGCCTTCTGTTTTATTATATTTAACACAGAGTAGCCCCAAAACTTTTAGAGTCAACTCTAATGACCTTTCTTTGGCTCTCCTCCACAGTTTTTGTGCTTAGAAAGTCTTTTCCTATCATGAGGAAAATTAAATATACAACTGCATTTCCTTTTAGTTTTTAAAAAAAGAGGGAGTTTGTATTTAAACCAAGGGACCTGCTGGACTTTTTGGACAGGATTAACCATGGTGTGTGCTGCTCAGGTGCCAGGCATGCTAACATACTATAAATACATTATTTCTAATCCTCACTACAATCCTCTAAGGGAGGTTATATTATCCATTTTTCTTTTTCCTTTTTTTAAAATCCATTTTTCTTAAGCCAAGGGAGCTGGAGGGAAAGTATATTTCTAAGGCAGGAGGCGGGCAGGACTAGAACTCGAGCTTATATTTGCCTAGCTCTAAAGCCTCTATACTTTTCACTATTCTGCGCTCTCCAAAGTGGCCTCTGTTCCTTCTGAAATCCTGGATATTTCCTGTCCTGTCCTAATTATGTGGCACTCTGACTGCACTGTAAAGATCACAAACACCAGCAAGTAGCACAAACAAGGGGTGTGGGCCGAGCACAACACAGCGGGGAGTGGGGATCACGGAGAACCAGGGAGCACAGGCCTGCGCAGGGATGGCTGCTCTGCAAAGCCAGCTCACCGTCCCCCCATGTTGCCAAATCAGGGAAGCTGATAAGTGAAATTTTTATGTAAAAGCTCTTGAGTTATCAATTTTGGCAACTAATGCAGTTTCTTTAAAAATACTGGGTAGTATAAACAAGTCTGAGGACCAGATTCAGCTTAAGAGCTGCCCAGCTGTGCTGCCGATGGACCCATCACATGACTCCTCCTTTTAGGCCCATGTCTCCGTCCTCCTGCCTGGCTGGTAAGCTCCTAAGCAAAGCCATCATCTGCTGGGCTTCTTGATGCCTCTTTGCTATTCCACATAGTAGTGCCTTGCCGGGAGCTGGTCCATCCTTGCTGTTTCAAGGGACCTGGCATATATGGCATACTGTTCTTAATATGTTTGCTCACCTTCTTGGCACTATGTGTTTTAACCAAGGTCACCTCTCTGAGAAAGGTTGTTTCCCCAGGTAGAGATTTTCCCCTTAAGTTAGGGAGGGAATAAAACCCCTTCACTAAGTGCCAGGCGGGTAATTAAAACCTACACAGAACCTAGAGACAGAAGAACTTTGCTGGAGAGAACATGGCAAAAGATCCTGGACAGAACCTGGCTACAGAGCTTGATTGGAGAACCTAGACAGAACCTGGCTGAAGAACCCGGCTACAGAACCTGGCGACCGAACCTGGCTGGAGGACCTAAACCGAACCTGGCTGGAGAACCTAGCAAGAGAACATGGACACAGAACTTGGCTGGAGATTGTGGCTAGAGAACCTGGCCAAGCTGCTGATCAACTGAACGCTGTCTCCGTGTCATTCCTTCTTCGCCGACTCCGTCCACACCTTTGGGGACCGCTGGACCTGCTGGGGTTGGACACCAGCAGTGCCTGATAGGAAGCTCAGGACACATACGCTACTTCATCTTCAAGAGTCCTATTCTTAATCTCAGGTACATCAACTCAAGCGGAAAAGGCCGTTGAAAACACACAGGAACGAACACACACACACACACAGATTATTAAGTGCTGGGGACATGATAATGAATAGGACAGAAATGGACCTAGGCCATATGGCGTTTGCAATCTATTGCCAGTTTATGATCTCCTAAAAATAATGTAGATAAAGATAGCAGAATCAAAGATAATCTTGAACATCCAAATTTAGGGGGTTGAGGCAAAAGAAGATACCTCAAAGGAGATAGAGAAGTAGCAATGAGAAAAGTATGAGAATAAC